CTGGCAACAGATGGAGGACCCTTTTGATAATGTGCGTTTTTTTTCAACTTGAAATTTCTTGTAAAAGCCTAAGTTGCAGTTCTAGAATAATTTCAATGCCCGACCGCAGGTTATAATTGGGGATCGCTATTATGGACGAACAACTGGCGATAGCAAACACTTTTGCGAGCAGTTGAAATCGTGGTTTCCGGCGGAAGCGTCGAATATCGATGATTATTTCCAATACGTTTCGGCAAGTTTATTAAATTTTAACATTTTTAAAAGCAGTACTTTTTGTATCACCTAGGTTTCAACATAACATGCAGTAGTTTTTAGAAAAACTATCATATTTTTTTGATTCGCTGGTTTATGCTCTTGCATTTCTCCCACTTCTTCGCAGTTAGAATTAGCAACATTCGAAATGAGTTGGTGATGTTTAACATATACCAAAGAGTATCTTGAAACCAAAGGATATCTTGAAAATTATCTTGGAACTTTTGTCTAGTGCTTTTCACGAATGAATCATTGAGCTGGTAATTTCTTCAAGAGACGAAACGGACATCAGGATTAACATCAGGCGTGACAGTAGTCAAATAAGCTTATACCGTTTTGTAGGGAAACCAAGCCTTGGTTTGCTGCTGATCAAGGTATCAAATTAAAATTTTTTTTTCATGTGAACATTTATGAACTTATTGTCATCAATGGAGCACACTGCTTTCCTGTTTCATTAAGCAAACTTTGTTGATGAGGCTTTTGTATGTCCAGCTTCCCCTTGCTGTTCAAAAAATAACACACTTCAGTTCTTTTTAAGTCCTATAACGCGAAATTCCTCGAAGAAAGTTGATAAGTTATAAAATATGCATATTACTTTAAAAAAAAAAATATATATATATATTAGCTGTTTCGTGGAGAAATTTCTTGATTGGTTTTTGACTAACAAGCTGATTTTTCCTTTTTTTTCCTTTTCAGTGAGCTAAAATTTCTTTTAGTGTAACTTCTTTTTGGTAAATTTTTTCGTGAGTTTTTTTAAACCCTTTTCGGCATAAATATTTTCTTTTTTAGTAAGTTTTTACTGTGTTTAGTTTTTTCAACACACCATAATTTTTCCATATATTTTTTCAATTCCTCCACCTCCCTCCCCCTCCCGCTCCATTATTCTTATTTTTTAGTATAAGAGCTTTTTTGTGGAATTTTTGTGCTTTTGAAGAAAAAGAATTAAAACTGACTACTTTTACACCAAGATCATTCAGCACTAAGTGTCGAAGCTTTGATGTTACATGAGGTGTATTCCAAGCTAAACGCAGCTACGCCTGATGCTCCGGTCTCCGAAGCTACCAGCTGTTGCAAGTTTTTAAGCTTCTTCAGTAAACTTCAAGTCTTCATTCAGGATTTGAATGGTGATTTACTGTAAATCTGAAATTTTAGAAATGTCTGGGCGCAAATCTGCGGTTCTTTGTTGCCATCAAAATGATGCCTGCGTTCGTGGTTCGTTTGCTCGTCAGATCAGGCGTGATTCGCCTATTCACAAGTGTATTCAAATATTCTGGCCAGAATTTGCTAGATGTTATGAAACAGTACAAACTGAGTGCCGATGTTCAGACAGTCATCGCTTACTATTTCGCTAATTACGGTTAGCTCAATCAGATGAGATATTCCGCCTACGCACAAATGATTAGTGGGGAGGGATGAAATTGAGGATCAAGGTGGAATTTTGAGATACCGCCAATTTTATGGTTTTGATTTTTACCCAAAATTTTATGGAATTGATTCTTTTCCCTTATATTTATTGGGCGAGAGAAGCAATCACAAGTAGCGTCTTCGGAACTGCTTTGCCCCAAAAAATGATCTGAGTTTTTCAAGGTGCTCCGCCGAATCGTGCTTCGTTCTTCCAGCATCACTTATTTCTTATGGAAAATGGCTTCTACCCAGTTGGTGGCGCAACAACAATCACTGCCAACATTATTCGGTCCATAAACAAATTTGGCGGAAAAGTACTGGTGAAAGCTGATGTCCAGCAGATTGTATTTGCTGCTGGAAAAGTTATTGGTACTTTTATGATTATATTTTTGGTA